AAGAATCAGCAGTAATCTTTCGTGGACTACTTCATAGAGAGCCTGAGCTAATTAAACAAAAAAATAAGATTGGAGTTTCGGCATTTCATTTGTGGGCAAAAGATGGTAAAATTTGGCCGTTCAAAATTCTCTTAGATTGTAAGGATATCATCGAAGATGTAAAGTGATAATAAATAACCTAATACTTTAATATTTCCTCCGTCTTCTAATACAAAGCCTCATTTTTTTTTTTGGGTAAACCAAAATACAATTCCTCTTTCTATTTAAAGGTTGTATATTTTTTACATTATTACCCTTTTTTGATGAGTTGTCATCTTTTTTCCTTTACTTTTTTGTACTTTTAACATCAATTTCTTTTTTGATGAGAATGGATCAAAGGCATTGCTGTCCACATTAGTTCAACATCTGCCCTCATGGCTGAAATACTAGCCATCTTAGCTGCATCTTGGGCTATTTGGGAGAAATGGGATGATGTTCAGTTCCACTCTGACTGTCTAAGGGCTGTACAAGGAGTTAACAAAGCTATGATTGGTTCTGATGAAATGGAGAACTATTACGCTTTATGCAGGGGCCTAATCTCAACCGTAGGAAGGGGAAAGCTGTCCAAGGCATCAAGGGCGGAAGTAAAGGAAGCGGATGTGGTGGCCAGGCAAGCTGTGTTGGGTGTACATCATTCTTCTAGTCAGTTGATTACTGCAGTTTCTATTCTACAATAACATTTTGTAATTATTCAAAAGCCAAATGTGGCTCAAACTTCGGTCTGTATTAGCACTAATTTCTCTTTTGGTACAAACTTAGTACGTGCTAGCTTAACTGCTAATCAGCAGTTAATGGTAGGGGCGGGATGCCCACTAACCCATCAGCCACCTTAAACTTGGAAGGTGCATTTTGTAATTAAGGCTTAAGCCAGCTACTTATTTAATCTAATCTATGTTCTGTTTCCTACCTAAAAAAAAAAACATCAATTTCTAACACTTTCTCTCTCTATCTCTTCAATTATTCCCAACTACTTTTTCTTTCTCTCTATCTCTCTCTAACCCCATATACATATATGTACTTTTAATCATTAGTTTTAAAGAATGTACAACTTTCTTCATTTTCGCGCAAAAACTAAAAGATGCTTTGTATTAGGGGACGGAGGGAACATAATTTAAAATTAAATATGATGGCTTTCTAGAAAAAGCTAAGTTTTCCATGTAACGTAGCAGTAGCTAGGAATTTGAGTGAAATAATGAAAGTAAAAAATACTCCCTCTGTCCCTATTTTTTTGCCCCATTTGACTGTGCGCGGTTTTCAAGACGCGTCTTAAAACGTCTATATCTTTATTTCTATATACGTAAAAATTATAAAAATATGATATTAATAAAATATACAATGAGACAAATCTAACAAGACCGCTCATGACTATATCATCTTTTATAGATTAACGGTAAATTATGATCAAAGTTTTCAAAGTTTAACCCAAAAAATGGCAATGGAGCAAAAATAAAGGGACAGAGGGAGTAGTAAACATGTGTGTGATTTTCAAAAATAAGTAAACATGTGTCTGCGTGCCTCATAGATCACATGATATGATATGCTTTACTTTGTATGTAAGTTCGATACCAGGCCAAATCAATAGTTGATTGATATACTATGCTTCAAAAGCTTTTTACTAAAGTAGGGCTTCATTATAATAACACCTTCAAGTTATTTATGATTCTTGTCCTTTGCGTGGGAATCAATATTTTATATTTATCCTCGTAGGATAGGATGGAGGCATTATTGGGCCAGATTTTTGCATGGGCGTATGGCTCGGTTTGATGGTTGCATCGGTATGGAATATAATTGTTAATTATATAGTTTTCGAATTATTTTTTTTTTGTCTATTTATACGAGTCAAACCCACCATTCCTTTCCCAACCCAATTTCTAAATTTTTTACCTCGGAGTTTTGAATATAGATGTCAAAAACTTACTCATCGATCCTGACTAAAATATAGCCCGATTCAAATTTCTACTTATATGTGCATAACGAGTTTGCATGACTTCAACCTGAAATGGACCTGATCCGACGACCCAAATAGTCCGTACTGAACCTGATCCAATTTTCCAAATCGACACCTCTAGTTTTGATTTATGGATTCAATATTTTTCAAATTATCACCCAAACACGTGTTATGGGTTTAAACTTTAGATCGATCATACCCTATATATACTTAGATTTTGTGAGTCAAACATACACTTAAGTACCAATGTCGTGAGAAGTGAGGCCTATCGTTAGAATATATGAATCTTGTACTATTAAAATTCATTCCTTGAAATATTTAGAGAGCTGAGGTTTGGAATATTTTTTTATATTTATCCTTTGCGTAGTAATCAATTTAGGATTCTTAGAAGCTAATGCTTAAATGCGAATATATTTCCTAAATGTTCTACAGAATTATATGCATTTATGTAAATGTTAAGAAAAAAAAATTAAATGAGAAAAAAATGATGACAAAAAGTGATAAAGAAAAAGTACGTAAACAAGTAGGAATAAAATCAAAAGTGAAAATTTGTTTCGTGTAGTATTTAGATAAGTTTGGAACATGTTTTAATATTCCTATACGAAGCTTTAAGCTATTCAATAAGTCTTTTATAACATGTATTTTTGTTAATTTTATTGAAAGACGGTCAATTTAAAAATAACTTTAATATTTTTTAATGATAACTTTAATTTAATTTAACCCATTTAATCAAGCTTCTTTATTAGACATACTTATAACGTGCAACACTGAAAATATAATGTACCTGTGGTAGATTATAATTAAGTAATCATTTGATTTTGTAACTTAATTCAAACATTTAGTTTTGTTAGAGTGCAATTTGGCGCTTAGCTGCTATTTGTTTGGGATGCATATAGGAAGACTAATTGGTAAATTCACTTAATTTTTATGATTTGTTATTGCTACAATGGTATTTTTAATGTAATGTTATACTTACAACGGTATTTTTAATGTACTATTATACATATATTTTATATTACTAAAGTAAAAGTTGTTTTAGTAGTACTATTTATAGTCATTATAGACAACAGTGGTACAATATTTGTACTACTAGAAGAAAAAAAAAAATTCACCACTTTTTTGTCTTATATCTGCTATTTACGTGCTAATAAATAGCAGCTATGCGTCAGTACTTAACCCTTTCGTTAAACAAGCAGTTTCAATTGCAATACTTTACTTAATTTATTTTTAGTTGATACTGAACACTTTCCTAATCTACTCAAACAATATTGCTAGTGAGAAGAGATAGTGATAAATAATTAAAATATTAAATGGTCTATATCATACAAGAAACTTTGACAATTAAATTACAAAATCAACATAGAATAAAAGAGTGACAATTAAATTAAAACTAGTTTTGTGCCCGGGCGATGTCCGTTTTATTTATTAAATTTTAGGATAAATTTTTTGTCTTAATTACCAACACTTAACACATATCATTGACACAAATCATATTTTATAAAAAGACATAATCTCTTTTGATTTAAGATATTTTGAGGTATGATACTACTCCCTCTGTCTCATAATACAATACCTCTTTTATATTCATAAAGTAATATATATTACAACTGGTAAAAGTTGATTGTTAGTAATTTGGGATATTACAAACTATATATTTTGTACAAAGTATAATATAACAGTCGTATTAGATGTATCATAGATGTTTTCCTAAAAAAAAAAATGATGTATCATAGATCGATGTACTATACAAACATACACAAAATTTTTTGAAACCAAACTAACTTCTAACCTACCTCTATCGAATAATAGGATTAATGGGATCATCATACCACTTTAGTCTATAAGACACCATGACTTAAAAAAAAATAAAGATCATAAAAAAAACTACTTTGTACATAATTAACTCCAATATAACCTAAAGCATATAGTAGTAAAGCTCGATTTTTACTCTTAAAGCAAATATCTACTGTGGTAGGAAGGGTATGAAGCAAAAAAAAGATGTTAAGAGTGGTGCCTAAATTTATACTGCTAATTATCCAATTAATATAATGTATGATTCCATTAATTTTTAATATGGGAAAAGTGTTACAGTAGGCATAGGATTTTAGTTACTCCGTATTTATTAGTGCCATTAACTATATTTGTAATATAATATAATTAATGATAAATATTAACCTATCAAGACTTTTATATTTAATCAAGTTTATTAAATAGCGTGTAAATGAAGTAGAATTCGGCTTAATAACAGAGAAAGAAGTTAAAACGCTTAAGTTTATGAAAATTACCAATGAAATCTATTTGGTAGTATGGACGGCCTCGTGGCCTCTATGATTCTTTTGTAATTCGGTGGTGTTTTCTATACATACGACGACATATAATATTTGAAATATTGGTATTTCATCGAAAATAAAACGCTTAATCAACAATTTTATCCTTAAACTATATCCAAATTTTATTGAATGTAAAACTCTAAACTAACTTTTTTATTTTACAAAATCTATTTAAATCTATGCAATGTTTTTATCCTACGTGTCATACTAATAATTAATTGTTGTATACGTGACGCGAAACTTGGCAAAAAGTTGAAACGCCAAGTGTCGCTGTCTCGTGGCCTGACTAAAAGTTTAACTTTATATATATTAATTATATGATTAGACTACATTAGAGAATGTTAATTAGTCTATACAAATAGTAGGTTGTTTGACTTTCCTCTTACAAATTACTATAGCCCCAATGCCCTAAAAGGTAAACACATATTGCGTGCCTTTTAATTATGTTAAAGAGCCAACTCAACCAAAAGCTTAAACTTATGGTTGAGGTCCAGGAATATGTTTTATACTCTATCAAAATAAGTACTACGTAATAAAGATTCTTACTGGCTTGCATTTCACCAAAGTTTAAGCATTCTAGCTTGTATAATATGGATTTGCTAAAGTAGTTGCTTTATTATATTCGTTTTATTAATGTATCGCCTAAAATGCTTCTAAAAGTGACAGACAATATATATAAATAAACCAACTTGATTATTCATATGACTCCAAACCACACTTGATTTTAGAATTTGTTTCTAAAACTCCAAAAATTCCCTCAAACCCAAAATTCCAATCATGACATCCTCGAAAATGGATGAAGAGCTGAGAAATGCAGCAGTGAGAGGAGATGTAGACTTCCTTAAACATTGTGTTGAATCCAATAAACCCATCGAATACTACTTGACTTTCTATCCTGAGGAGGATGACCAATCTGGAAGACGCCATCATGGCAACATCTTCCACATGGCCGCAACCGAAAACCAAGAAGAGTTTATAAGAGAAGCCATGGGGATTTTACCTCAAGAAGCCAAGCACCAACTCCTTGTTCAAACAAGGGGAATAAGCAAGTGGAACCCTCTTCATGTAGCAGCCAAAGTTGGTAATATAGAGATAGTAAAGATGTTTATCGTTGTTTACCATCTCATCTTTTGGAACATGAACGACCCTTGTTTTTCGTACAACTCATTTTTTTTTTTTTTAATTTTTAAGAAGTAACATACAAGGAGGAGTTTAGGTACATCTAACATCAATATGAATCAAATAAAATCTTATTAATTACGTGATTACCTTTTTCTTTATAAAGTACTCCGTATAATTTAGTGAGAGTTAAGATATACGAATATATGTATATCAATATATATATGTATATATACATGAACACACAAATATACACACATGTGCAAAATTATAATCTTTGAAAACCTTTTTTTATTTATTACAGAAGAAATCTTTCGAGAACTACTTCAGAGAGAGCCAGAGCTAATTAAACAAAAAAAAAAAGAATGATTTAATTTGTGGGCATATTATGGTAAAATTTGGCCATTCAAAATTCTCTTAGATTGTAAGGATATCATTCAAGATGTAAATAAGATTTTCACATACTTGGTATCTTCAACGAATAATAATAATGGTGGCAATCCATTACACTACTTGGCTAGATATGCCCGGTGTACAGAAGATGCTACAAAAATTGCAGAAATGCTGATAGATATTTACAAAAAAGAATCACCAAGCCTTTCAAATAATCAACATCCTTGGTTAGTGAAGAACATTGATGGAGATACACCTTTGTCATTGGCCATAGCCCAGAAGAATGTAAATCTGGCAATATATTTGTTGTCAGTGGATGAAAATGTAGTTATCGAAAGTAAGAAGAATGTTCTATTCTTGGCTGTCGAGGTTCAATGTCATACACTTGCCGAAGATAATCGATAACAAAGGTTGGACTCAACTTCTTACGAATCATCAAAAGCTCAATATCTTGCATCTTGCTCCATTATGCACAGGTGAGTCCACGATCTATTTATCTTTCTTTTTTACCTTTCACTTATATCATTATTATTGATATATAATAGATAAAAAAATATGGATATCTCTTTAGTTTTCTCTTTCTCATCTTTACTATCCTCTAAAACCTAGAGCAATGCAAAGAAATAAAACGTTTTTGTCATGATTTATCCATCTTAAGTTGACATGGTGCAGCTATATAATTTACACACTATATAATCTATAATTTATACTACTCCCTCCGCCCGTAATTATCTGCAACATTTACCTAAAATGGGTGCTCTTCTACAACAAAAATTTTTCTTTTCTTTTTTGGTAATATTTAACTATCAATTACCCAATATTACCCACTTTTTTGGTTAGTGGTCCCCTTCACAACCTATTACCCACTAACTAAAACCCACTCAAAACAAAATTAAGTGGGACAACTCCTTTTCCCTCCATTTTCAACCTTAATTAAACCCATTAAAACTCAATTAAAACTCCCCTAAAAGTTTTGCCTAGGATTCCGCAAATATGTTCTTTGGTGCATATAATCCTAGGCAGAGGGAGTAAATTAATCAATTAAGTTATCCAAAATGTATACGTGTTGCATCTATAACAAAAAAACTTCCGACCAAAAAATATTTGGGATATTCTCAATGAACCCCCAACTTCTGCTATGCACCAATGATAACCCCCTTTTTTGGATTATACAAAATGACCTTAGTTAAAAATTTCATCCCACTTATAACCTTATTTCATTAAATATTAACTATGGTTAAATTTATATTTTTTTTTTTATAAAAAGAAAAATTTTAAAAATTAATCCCAACCCCCAAATCCCCCATTGATTTTGGCCAACCCAGCCCCCTCCCCCCCTTTCCAACCGCAACCATCCCCTGCTACCTCTTCCGTTTCGGCTTGGTTGTTCAATGATCATCATCACCATCAATCCCCACCATTAATCCATTACCACCATAAAATCGTGACCGTTAGACTTAAGGAGCCGGTTTCGGATCCCGGGGTCATTTTCAACAGGGGAAAGGGAAGAGGGTTCGTTTTTTGGCAGGGGGAGATAGGGGTGTTTTACAGGATAGGGAAGGGAGGGGGATGTTTTCGGGGGAGTGGGAATGCTAATCGGCGATTTTAGGGGTTGGGGGAACGGTGGGACTACGTTCTGGCAGGCGGGGTAGGGAAGAGGTGTTTAGTTGGGAGTGTTTCCGGGGTGGTAAATGGGATGAGGTTGACTTTTTTTTTTAGTTTTAGTTGTTTTTAATATATATATATATTCTTTCAAAGTTAATCGTAACTAGTTTTTTTTAAAATAAATAACACTCTTAATGTCATATGTGAGATAAATTTCTTAATTAGGGTCATTTTGTATAATCCAAAAAAAAAAGGTTACCGTTGGTGCGTAGCAGAAGTTGGGGGTTACTATTGAGAATATCCCAAAATATTTTTTTTCTTACAAAAATAACATGATAGAAACAAAATTAGTTAATACAAATTTTACTTACAGTAATTTATAAAAATAATTTTTGCCCTTGTAAATACACATTCAAGCATGCTCAAGGAACTAATGTCTTTATATTTATGATAATTTGTGAGGAGAAATAGAGTCATTTAAAATCTATTTAAATATGTTAATTTTTTTTCCTTTGTATTCTTAGTCGCAAAAAAATTCAAATAGAACGAACAAAAAATATAGAGAATATCATCCAAATATTAATTTTTAATATTTTTTACTTATTACTCTGTCAATGTTTTATAAGTGACGCATTTCCCTAAAAACCTCTGTTTTTTAAATGACACGCTTTCCCTTTATCGGAAACTTTCTAATATTTTAATACTTCCCACTCATTAATATCCTGTTTGGTTTATCCAGGAAGTTAATTTTTATGAGTAATCATGTTTCATGGGATGTTACTTTCCACTTCCAAATCCTAGGAATTTTGGTATTCTTGTTTAAATTGGTTATAAATCAAAAGAGTTTGAAATTCCCTAGCCTCGAATTTTGATTGACCAAAGGGGACCATGGTAGTATATTTATGAGAAATTCTAATTTCGATCCTATGATTTTTTACTTCCTTCACTTTACTACTATGTTTTTTTATTTTTATTTTTTACAGATACTTTACTACTATGTTGTTATCAAACAAACACCCCCATTTGCATATTATCATAAATTTTGATCTATTTTCCTCAATTTCAAAGATTAACCAAATAAGCACTCTTGAGTCTTGAACTGTGCTCGGATAAAATAACAAATACAGAGTAAAATGTTTCATCTCATAATAAAAAGCGAAATAATGAAGTTTTTAATTAACAAATTATACGAGAATATATATAAATAAATGAAAAAAATTGGGTGAGTCCAACATATCTTACATTAATAATATAATATATGACATTAATAATTTAATATCTAACATTAATAATCGAATAAACTAATGTCACATATTAGATTACAATTGTCAGATATTAGATTACTAATGTTAATTTACTATTGTTAGATATTAGATTGTTAATGTCATATACTAGATTATTAATTAATGTCATATATTAAATTTCTCATATTAGATATTAGATTATTAATGTCAAACATTAGATTATTAATGTTGATATTAGATTATTAATGTCAGATGTATTAGACTCACGACGAGTCCGGTCTCACGCAAAACTTTTCCTAAAATAAAAAAAAGTAGCCAATTATCTATTTAATTGTACCATGTCGATTGACTTTACACATAATTCATCGTGCACAACTTTGCAATTACTAATAACTTTAACTATTCATAGTTTAAATTTATTAAAAGTTGAATTATAAATACTACCTCCATTTTTATATCTTTTTACTCTTGATTTATCCCTTTATTGTAAGAAAAATACTCACTTTTATACCTCTATACGACTATACCCCCTACATGGTCCAAATTTTTTACAATTGTTACATTTCAACTTTTGACATTATTTATGTAACATAAGTTAGCTAAAAACGAACATAATCATGTGTGATCAATTTTAGTTTTGTTTTCGATTTGTAGTTTCAAAAACCAACTTTTTATGAATAATTTTAATAATAATTCATTAAAGATACTACGGTTGAATTAATGCATTGAAAAATGTGTTAACTTAAAAAGTACAAAGGAAGTAAAATACACAATAAAATTAGGCTTCTTTTACGTATATTGTTTATTTATGAATGATTGTATAAAAAATATTAAATAACAATACTTCTTTACAAGCAGAAAACTTTTGTGCACAACTAATGGAAAGACATCCAGAATTAATCAAAGGAGTAGATAAAGAAGGATCTACAATAGTTCATAGTTGGATAAAAAGTGACAAAGAATGGCTATTTAAATTCATATTGGAGAGCAAGTGGAAAGATCAGTTTGTAAAACTTTTTGATGTTAAGGATTACAATTATCAAAACAATCCTTTTCATGTTGCTGCAACAACCACTCATGAAACAACAAACCAGATTGTACCACTCCTTGTAGAAGCTTACAAAAAAACCAAACTTATTTGGAGCGTAAATGATATCAATCAATTGCCATGGTTTGAAAAGAATAAAGAAAAGGAAGGAGCTCTACACTTGGCATTACGCAACAAACGTGAAGATCTTGCACTTTACATATTGGCACTACTCCGGCATGATCAATCTATAAATAAACTGCTAGATTATTACAAGCCAGAGCATTCTACTTTGTTTCTTGCTATACAAAACAATTGCTCTGATGTAGCCAAAGCCATATTGGGAAATTTGGATAAGAGAAGCAGGACCAAATATCTAGAAGATTCCTGGACTGGTCAGAATATATTGCATCTTGCTACAAGCTTAACAGGTATGATTTGTTCCACTCTAGTAGTAATCACTTAAATTGAAAGGGTATTTTTTCCCCTACGTTGTAGAAATTTTTTAACACATAGCTTGACTAAGAAAGTAATGTAAACTTGTAAAGTACTTAGAGATTTTGTTTGGTCTGAGGACGGTGGGAATATTTTCTTCTAATTTTTGGTGAATAAATGGAAGCAGATGTAAGCTTTGGGACATGGTTAGTAGATATAGCACCAGAATTCATCACCCAAAAAGATGAAAATGGACAATCACCTTGGGATAAAGCGTATGAACTTGGTCATGCATGGTTTATAAAAGCGGTTTTGGAAAAAGATTCATCCGTGTTCAGTAGGGAACCCCTGGCTTGGACAAAAGCTTGTGAAAAAGGTAATGTCCCAGCTCTTCATGCCTTCATCAACCATAATCCAGGAGCGTTTCGAGATCTTTGTATTGAAAATAAGGATTCTCCTTTACATCATATAAAACTGTCAAGTTTAACAGACTATGAAGAGTTTCTTTTCGAGATTCCACGCATGAAGGATCTAATTAATCTTCAAGATTCTCAAGGTGTAACACCTTTACACAAAGCAATACAAGATGACAACTTATTCTTGACTGAAACTTTACTCAGCATCGATAAGATAATTGTGCCATAGATCTATTGGCTCAAAAATGCGTTGACAACCAAGCATGGGTATGATTTCTTTCCAATAAAATTTCCAATTTAAGATTCATTTTATTAACTGTTTATATATATATGATGCTTCTTTAATGCAAAAAATAAAAAAAAATAAATGCTCTTTTGTACCATTTCGTTTTCCTTAAAACACAAAAAGATAAGATCTGTTCGAGCTTTGGATATATTGAACACAACTTTTATTGAATCAATTATATTGGAAATAATATATGTGGACTAGCATACACGAAGGTTTTTTTTTTTGTGTGTCATATAGTTTGGAAGCTAGAAGTGAAGTTCAATTATGAATCATTGTAGGACCAAATGTCCAAGAGAATTGGGCTTGATCCAATGATTAAAACGACATACTTTCAACCTAAGACAAATTTGTTGGATGTGCGAAATTCTTTGTTTGTGGTAGCTGCCTTATTAGCTACCATTACATTCACTGCTGGATTCACTCTCCCTGGTGGATTTACTCAAGATAACGGGGAAGCAATTTTGGCAAAGAAAGCAGCTTTTTTGGTGTTTTTGGTATCTAATACACTAGCCCTATCTTTTTCAATGTTGGTGTTGATTTGTCTCATATGGTCCATGGTCTTTGATTCTAGTTAATCATTGAAATTGATTGATCGAAGTATGGTGTTTCTCCGTTTAGCGCTAAATTTCACATTATTGACGTTTATGACGGGAGTCTATATTGTCATAGCCCCAAAGTCATTATGGGCTGCTATTCTCATTATTGTCATCGTGAGCTTTCTCATTGGAATATCTATCAACAAGGATCTCTTGTACAATGCTCTAGAGTATCTTGACAAGTTTCCTTCTCCGAGTAAGAAGTGCATAGATCGACTTCGTCTGATGGAATTGGTAAGCTTTTTATTTGTTAAATAACTTATACTTTGTATTAATTATTTCTTCTATCTTGAAAGTAATAATCTCATTTAAATTATAAACTTTGGTTAGGCTAATGTGTGGATTCTACCATAAACGAACATTAGAGTTTGAAATGGCGTGAAAAATACAAACACATAAATACACAATAGTGTTAGTGTAATTTGAGCTCTGAAACTCTTGTATTTGTGCACTTAATAAGTTCATAGAAAAATTAGCTATTAAAATAATAATAATAAAAATACAGGAGAAAGAGAAAATAGAAGGTAAGCTAAATTAGCTAATGCATACACGTCTAATACTTAAATCAATGTTTGGATTGCAGGGGTGCGCCCCTAACGGAGCTCGTGCTTAGTTTTTGATACTGGAGTTCAAAATAAGGTCCCCGATTGATTTACGGAGTACTGTATAGAACTAAGTTCACTTCATGTTACATTTATACAGAGTAGAATGAAGTGCTCGAGAAAAAAGGGAAATAAAATTCAAGTGTGTGTTATTTGTTGTAAAATTTATACATGAGTACAATATTATTAATGTCAATTATTTAATTCAAGCGATTGTAACTTTTTTTTCCCTCCTTACCTTTAGAAAAATTTAAGATACTTTTATAAATGGTGTTTAGATAATTATATTCTTTAAAATGGTTATTTACTTATTTGTCTTCATTAATGTTAATTGTCTCTTTTTATTTGTATCGAATACTGTGCATATATTTATATACCTAGATATAGTAGTATAAATTTACATTACAAATTTTCATGTGGCTGGTCACACGGTGTGGTTGGAGTTATTCGGTCATGAGTTACTTAATCGGTCAAGATTTACCCGATTAAGGGTTACTCGGTAGGTCAAGGGTTGTATGGCTAGGGTTAATCGGTTGGTCATGAGTTACTCGCTCGGTCACCCGGTCAGTACTACGCTTATTTGGTGTGACAAATCACATCGTGCAACAAACTAAAACATACCAAAACACTGATTGGGTAACTCATGACCGACCGAGTAATATCTAATCGAGTAATTATTGACCGATTGAGTAACACCTAAGCAAATAAATTCTGACCGTGTAACCCGTAATCGACCAAGTAACTCTAATCGAGTAACTTCGGCCATACCGGGTCTTCGTGTGCTACGCATAAACACATAATAAATCAAACCATTTGTGTATTTACATATTTTCCCTCAATGTTGTCAAATCTATTATTTGCAGTCTAGAGTAACTATAGCGCACTACCAGGTATGGGCTCATAGTTGTCCATACCACAATATAATTTTTTTTTCCCTTTTCTTTTCCTTTCCTCTTCATCTTCTTCCTCCCTTAAACTTTTAAAACTCTTTCCCTACCTCCATGGATAGCTCCCATTGCTGGCCAAACGAGATTTAAATAGAGTGGTCTGAAACATAGGCCCAAGTATTAGCACCCTATTTTTGGTCTGAAATGCGGCCTAACCCAATTGGGGGGGGGGGGTTTGGGGTTGGTAAGGAAAAGGGTCATACTGGGCCAGAACCTATCACGAGTTCTCTTGATTCGAATTATCGGGCTAGACACTTTGAAAGTAAATATGCAATTTAGATAGAGTGGTCTTGCTACTGTATGATTTTATTCCAATATACGAAGTATATGAATAATTAAAAAAGATGTTAATTAGTTATTTCCTCCATAAACACCATATAAAGGAGGTTAAAGAAACATTAAGAAGCTCAGATCATTACAAAAGGGATATAACTTCTACCATGCATGCATTAAACAATGCAAGTCATAGAATCCAAGAAAATACCATGAGAAAACCATAAAGAGGTAAATAATTAAGACCTTTTAAAACCATTAATCCAACATATACAACCAATTGTACCATGTAGCGCAATGAAGATTTTGATAGTTCTACAATTATAGAGAGGGAGAGGGAGTTGGGATTTTGTCCATATAAATATATAATCCTATAAAAAAAATAGAAAAAAAAAAAAAAAAGCTGTCCATTAAAAGATATATATGTAAAAAAATGTTGTCCATATGAAATCAAAAAGATAATGCCAATGGATCGGCCTGACCTTAAACCCTTTGCATTTTGGCCTCCACCCACTTTATTTGCATGTGAGAATTTTATTTTTATAATTTCTCGGAGATATAAACTATATGGCATAATATTTTTGTGCATTATCATAATAAATAGGGCAAAGATTATTAGGCTTACGCACAAAAATATTAAATGATGAAGAGATTTGCTATTCCCATCTTCTTGCTCATGACGACTACGTTGGCAGCAGGTTCATTTATGCATTTAAATCTTTTATTTAATCTTATATTATTAAATTTCTTTGAATCTTACGTTCCGGGAATTGTTAAACGACGCCCTTATTTTATCAGGTAACCCCCGTATTTAAATATAAATGGACAAATATACCCTCGTGTGTACTCCACATTTTTCTTCCCTGGCCTCTAACTCAATCGTACATTTTCTCCTCTTAACAAACCACCAACCGACCGAGGGCAAGGTCAACGAACACATCGATGGAATTAAAGTCTTTTTTTTTGTGGAGGTCAAACGCCTAAATTAATCAAAACTCTAGGGGAGAAACGCCTATAATCTTCAAAAGTCCCTAGGAGATTCAAAAATTCTAGGTGTTTCCACCTGTAGAATTTTTCAGTTTTTTTGCGTTTTTTGTTTTTATCATAACTTTTGATATAGAACTCAAATTAAGACAAATAATATATCATTGGAAAGCTCTAGAAGTCTATTTTCTAACCCAATTAGAATCATATCAATATCATTTTTAGATCTGAAGATATGGCTACAATACTAAGTTTGGTCCAAAACCAACACCCTTACACTATTTTGATCATATCTTAAGATCTAGAAATGATATTAACTTGATCCGAATTGGGTTAAAAAGTAGACTTCCAGATATTTAGATAGAGTGGTCTGAAATATAGGCCCAAGTATTAGCACCCTATTTTTGGTCTGAAATGTGGCCTAACCCAATTGAGGGGGGGGGGTTGGGGTTGGTAAGGAAAAGGATCATACTGGGCCAGAATCTATCATGAGTCCTCTTGATTCGAATTAGCAGGCTAGACACTTTAAAAGTAAATATGCAATTTAGATAGAGTGGTCTTGCTACTGTATGATATTATTCCAATATACGAAGTATATGAATAATCAAAAAAGATGTTAATGTAGTTATTTCCTCCATAAACACCATATAAAGGAGGTTAAAGAAACATTAAGAAGCTCAGATCATTACAAAAGGGATATAACTTCTACCATGCATGCATTAAACAATGCAAGTCATAGAATCCAAGAAAATACCATGAGAAAACCATAAAGAGGTAAATAATTAAGACCTTTTAAAATCATTAATCCAACATATTCAACCAGTTGTACCATGTAGTGCAATGAAGATTTTAATAGTTCTACAATTATAGAGAGGGAGAGGGAGTTGAAATTTTGTCCATATAAATATATAATCCTATAAAAAAAATAAAAAAAATTAAGAAAATGTTGTCCATTAAAAGATATATATGTAAAAAAATGTTGTCCATATGAAATCAAAAAGATAATGCCAATGGATCGGCCTGACCTTAAACTCTTTGGCGTGACATAAGTACTTAGCTTGTAACGGCACATCCCACATACCCAACTCTAGCTATAATTAACCCTTGTAAATTTCTCTCATTTTTATTCTTGGCCACACAATGACGTCCTCAATACATGAAAGTCATAGGATTTTGTTAGAAGACTAGCCAAGTCTTTTTACGGAGTAAAAAATTAATGGGATAACATATAATTATGTACAATGCAATTTTTTTATCGCAAATATTTTAATATCATAGTAGTCAAAACAACAACAATGTATTACTCCATAATGTATTCACAGAAACGAATCAAACTATATCTCATATGACAATGTTTTACAAAGATGAACTTATAATACTCCTCTTATTGTTAATATCATAAGATTCTGGCTAAGGTGAAAGATCATTGTGAAACCGAGGCCAGGAGTATTCCCTTTGTTCTATAATAATTAATTAAGTTAAATTTAGTACACATGTCAATACTGATTTGATCTTAATTTTCAATCAAATATTTTTAAAATTGATATTAAGAAAACTATATATTTACACCTAGTTTGTATAAAACAAAATGATGAAAAATTGTTTTTACTACGTTTCAAGGGGATAAAAATTTATAGTAAAAGTTAATATGTAGTATAATAAAAAAAAAGTTAAAACGTTAATTATTTTGAAATGAAGGGGGTAATATTTTGCATTATAAATATGGCAAAATTTGTTTGCCATATAATACAACTCTCAAGGTTATATTTACAAATAAAAACACTATCACAATGGAGAGATTGAATATCCTTGCCATCTTTTTGCTCTTGACAACTACTTTGGCAGGTTCAATTATATTCATTTATGCCTAAAACTTAATGTTTACTTTTTCATACAATATTGTTTGAAGTATTTGGTATTTTATCATCAGTTATATCATACAATATCTTGCTTGTTTTGGGTACAATTTAATTTTTTCTGAGATTCATTGTATTAATAATGTATTTTCTAAGTCATTATACTTTGGCAGTTTGATTCCTGGTTAAATTTGTTAACCAACTAAATTTAACTAGGAATCAAACTGCCAAACTAAATTAACACTATTTAACATTAGTCTTTTTATTTTTGGTTTTAATTATTGTTTAAGTAATAATAAATGAATTTAGTAATATATTATAGAAATAAACAAATTTGAAAAAGCGTTAAGAACATAAGTATATTATCTACTTACATTTACATATTTACAATAACATGTATTAGTGTAACTAATTAATTTTTATTATATGGATTTGCATGTAGTGCCAACATGGGGAAGGATAGAAAAAACCAAAAACGAGAAACAAGAAATACTAGATGAGGTGATGAAGATGGAAATGGGACAAAACTTTAAGGCTATACCGGTGGTTGTAAAAGAAGAAGTGGTGGCGGTAGTGGAGGAGCCACCAAAGACGGCGAGGTTGCGCGGTTGCGCCGGAGTGGGTGAAAATTGTGTATATGTCTCATGCTGTCCGACTAGCAGTGCTGGAAATCGTGTCATATGTTCTGCAGGTCTATACAATGCAGTTTGTGTAGAAATCTTTCCTCCTCCTGATTGGCCTGAGATGATCAGAAGATCTCTAAGAATATAATTAATTAATGTGGTTTGTTTGAAATAAAATAAATATGCTTGCAGTTTGTGATTTAAAAAAAAATGAAAGTTAATTTTAAATTAGCTTTTACTAAGCAATTGGAAGCAAAACTGCAAGAGAGCTGTTTTAATTTGTGTGATGTTTCATATGTTTGTTATGCATGGTTGTTATATACATGTATATGCAACCTACAAATGCATACCAACTCTTTATCTTTGTGGATTATGAATAAAAGTGGATCATGTATGAGTTTTATGTTGTTAGAGAAATCTTTGGATGTTAATAAACATTATTATATATTTTCTGCGTGCAACCTCATTTAGTTTTTGAAATTAAATAATTTTACGTTTGTTAAAACATACACAGAGAAAAAACAAATGTACGTACAAATATTATACATTTATTATAAAGTTGGCCTATAATAACCAAAAGTCGTAGCCTCGTTATAATTAAAAATTTCCTCCAATTTAAATAAAGTTATCTAGATATGCATTATTGATAAAGCTACATTATCACTTTTTCACAATTTTCAGTTCCCCTTTGAACCCCACGCAAATGTTAAATTAACCTCAAGAAGACTCCTGAACATATTGGATCAAAAGCAAAACAAATTTTTCTAAATATGATTCAAGTCAAGCTCACTGCTCAGATAAGTAAGTTCTTGTTTTGTCCTTTAGCAAGCTTTTATATCTATCATTCTTCTTCAAAAAGGAAGTATGGGGCAGGCTTAATAAGTCTTTTTAAAAAAAAGGAAAAATTGCATTAAATAATACGAACTCTGCTCCGTCCGCTAAAAACAAGTTGAACTTTTGTTTATTTCAAAATAATACGAACTTTGGGGGGTGTCCGCTTTAAACAATTTATTTTACCTCCAACCTGAATAACCGGTTAAAATTTTCAATAAATTTGTTTAATAATTTAATTAACTCTTAATTAAAACTTTAATTATGGTTAATTAATAATTAAAATAATTAAAATCTTAAAAAAAAAAAAATACCCACCTCCACCACCAGCCACCCTTTCCTCTTCCCCGGCGACCTTCCCCTTCCCCGGCAACCTGTCAACCCAGCCCTCGGCGCCGGTCCTCCTCCCTTGAACCACCAATCCCCTCCCCAAAACCCTTCTCCCTCGCCGACGCCTAGCTTTCCCACCACAACCACCCAGCCAACCTTCGTCGCAGCATTAGTGGCTGGGAATAAGGGGCAGCGAGGGATTTCGTGGTTAATTGACGGGATCGAAGGGCGTAGTTTCGTGGCTAAGGAAGGTGAGAGAGGATGGTTTCAAGGCTGGGCAAGGTGCGGCAATTTCGATGGCTGGCTGGGAGGGGATGTGGGTGGTGTGGCTGCGCAAGGCGAGGGTATTCGTGGTGGTCATGGGAGAGTGTGGTGGCGGCAGTGGTGGAGAAAGGGAGGCATTAGTGGCTGGGAATAAGGGGCAGCGAGGGAGGGGGGTCGACGCCGGCGCCGGAGGAAGGAGATCTGGGCGTGGCCGGCGTCGGAGGTGGCTGGTGGGGAAGATGGTGGGTGGGGGATTTTTTAAAAAAAAAATAAAATAAAAAAATTAATAATATTTTAAAAATTAAAAACATTAAAAAAAATTTAAAAACAAATAAAATTTCAAACCAATCAAACAATGACATGTATCCATATAACCTGTTAATCAAGTTAATAACCGGTCATAACTTGTTTAAAGCGGAGTACCCCTAAAGGTCGTATTATTCTGAAATAAATAAAAGGTCAACTTGTTTTTAGCGGACGGAGCAAAGGTCGTATTATTTAATGCAATTTTTCCTAAAAAAATTAACAAAAGAGAAAAGCTATATCGAATCGAATTAGCGGGGTAGAAACTTTGAAAGTAAATGTACAATTTAGATAGAGTGACCTTGCTACTGTATGATATTTTTCCAATATACGAAGTATATGTATAATTAAAAAAGATGTTACTGTAGTTATTTCCTCCATAAACACCATATAAAGGAGGTTAAAGAAACATTAAGAAGCTCAGATCATCACAAAGAGGATATAACTTCTACCATGCATGTATTAATCAATGCAACTCATAGAATCCAAGAAAATACCATTAGAAAACCGTAAAGTGGTAAATAATTATGACATTTTAAAACCATTAATCCAACATATACAACCAGTTGTACTATGCAGCGTAATGAAAACTTTGATGGTTCTACAATTATAGAGAGGGAGAGGGAGTTGGAATTGGAGTGGAAGTGAGAGAGACAAGTTTAAATTTTATTTTTTGGCCACCATCCTCTTGTGGATTAAGATTTTATCTTAATTTTGTCCATATAAATATATAATTCTATAAAAAAAAATACAAAAATAAATGAAAAAAAATGTTGTCCATATGAAATGAAAAAGATAATGCCAATGGATCGGCCTGACCTTCAACCCTTTGCATTTTGGCCTCCACCCATTTTACTTGCATGTGAGATTTTTATTTTTCTAATTTCTCTGAGATATAAATTATATGGCATAAAATTTTTGTGCATTATCATAATAAATAGGGCAAAGATTATTAGGCTTACGCACAAAAATATTAAATAATGAAGAGATTTGCTATTCTTACCATCTTCTTGCTCATGACTACGTTAGCAGCAGGTTCATTTATGCATTTAAATCTTTTATTTCATCTTATATTATTAAATTTCTTTGAATCGTACGTCAATTAAATACTGTATCATGTATGAATAGATAATTATATTCTTCACTAACGTAGAATAATAATGTATTGATAATATTGTTATTATTAATTTGTATTATTGCTTGTGTTATTATTGTAAAATGTATAGTGCCAACATGGGGAAGGATGATAGTATATACCGAGACCAACAAGATGGAAATGCTAGAGGAACTGATGATGGTGGCGATGATGAGAGAGGAATTGAATCGTGTTTCGCCAGAGGTGATCGAAAGGGAAGAATTGGCACTAGTAGGCAGCGGAGGAGCAACCAATAAAGGGGAAGCTGCAACGTAACAAGGCGCAAGAGAGAGATGAGTTACAAGTGTGTACATGTCCCATGATGTTAATTGTCCATAACATGATGTTGGTTATAAACTTATAGAGTATGCAAGTATGATATATATATATATATATATATATATATATATATATATATATATATATATATATATATATATATATATATATATATATATATATATATATATATATATATATTAGCTGATTCAACTAACTATTTTTGTTAGTAATTTAATCAGCTGATTGTACATCATGCATATGAATACTCCGTTTTTTAATAAGGGGGATAGTGTTGATAGTCCACTTGTGAGTATTCCATATTAGAGAAAGAGGAGACATGGTTCCACTTTATAAGGTAAAGGATTTACTCTTATTATTACCAATTGGTTTTCATATGGAATCTCTTTAGCCTTGTTTGTGGGCCATACTCTTCTCCTCCTTGTTCAAATTGCCCAAACCCATTTTATACATTATCTCAAAATTTAACTTAAGCAAACAAATTATTGCGTTAAATATAACTTAGATGTTTGGGGGTACTATACACAAGTACACAACCCATCTTAACTCGACCTTGTCTTCCCTAGTGTATTTGAAAGCGTACCTTAAAGAATATTTATACTTCGTACCTTTTTCTCACAATTACTTAGTAAGAAACTAAGAATTATAGGAAAAATATACTTATATTACCTTCGTTAATATTTAGTTGCAATAAAAGATTTTTTACACTCCGTACCTTTTTCTCACAATTACTTATACTCCGTTAATATTTCTCACAATTATAGAAACTAAGAATTATAGGAAAAATATATTTATATTACCTCCGTTAATATTTATGTGCAATAAAGAAATTTTTTATATATCACAAACAATACTCAATTTTTCGTTCTTCCTCAGGATCGAAGGCAGCAGAAAGCCTTTACACAATTTTTTGTATACGACCTGCTGTACCGTGCGGCAAGGGTTACTCGGTCAGGGGTTACTCAAGTTGTCGAGGTTACTCGAGTTTCTCGGTCAGGGGTTACTCGAGTTGTCGGGGTTACTCGAGTTACTCGGTCAGGGGTTACTCGAGCTGCCGAGGTTACTCAAGCTACTTGGTCATGGGCTACTTAAGTTACTCCTGACCGAGTAACCCCTCAAGTAACCCCTGAGCGAGTAACCCCTAACCGAACTCCTTAAGTAACCCTTGACATAATTACTCGAGTAACCCTTGATCGAACTTTTTAAATAACCCCTGACCGAGTAACTCGAGTTATCCCTAACCGAGTAACTCGAGTAACCCCTAACCGAGTAACTCGAGTAATCCCTAACTGAGTAACTCGAGAAACCCTGACCGAGTAACCCCTAATCGAGTAACTCGAGTAACCCTTGACCGAGTAACTCGAGTAACCCCTAACCTAGTAACCCCTTAAGTAATCCTTACCGAGTGAACCCCTCGAGTAACCCCTGTCCGAACCCCTCAAGTAACCCCTGACCGAGTAACTCGAGTAACCCCTGACTAAATAACTCGGGTAACCCCTAACAAAATAACTCGGGTAACCCCTGCCACACGATGTGGCCTGTTGCACCAAAAAATTGTTAAAGCCTTTAATAATGCTCAATTATAAAATAAATAAATAAATAAAATATATATAAAAAAAATATAAAATAAAATAAAAGAAGAGCTCATCACTGAATTGTAGTTGTGGATAATGCTTCTATATTCGAAACAAAGATAAAATAGAAAGAAAAAAAACAATTATTACATGGCCGACTCCTATTCCACCACCTGTTAACAAAACTTCTGATTATACGCCACGATATGCATACATATTATAATAATACGAACTACAAATTTTCTTCTATCTTCTTGTTTTGAGGAAACAAATAAATATTTTCCTCAGACAAAAAGGAAACAAATTAATATGCCTACGTTGATTACTATTCTTAGAAACTCGATAATCTTAACCCCAAAATAGATCTTCAATATGAGTCGACTAGTTCAACTCGTTTCTAGCAAATCTCCACAACTTAATCCACTTCTTGCTTCTATATCTATCAAGGTATTAATTTTTTATTTTTAATCCCTTTTTGTTATCAATTTAATTACTTTGTAATTGGTTTAAGCAATACGAGTAGGATCTTTCGTTGCTATATTATTTTCTCGTATTTTATGATGACCTTTGGAATCTATAGATCAAATCAGTTAAATTGATTGGTTAAAATCTTCAGATCGACACTTGATTAAGTAATAGTCTAGAAATTTGTTTGTCTGGCTCTTTGTGACTTTTTGAGTGTACACTAAAATGTGCCGATATGATGATCCTTCTAGCTAATCAACGTACCTTAGCAAAGTATAATTTTATTTTTTTTCTTTCATTAAGATATTTTTACTCCGTTTTTATAATTGTTGTTTGAACGAATCGATTTTGAGCTACGTCTATTCGTAACAAAAGATTGTAGCTAATTTTCATCTCAAATCTAATTAACGTACTAGCTTAGTAGCTTGTAATAGGGGTGATACGTAACTTGTAACTTTACACTATGAATATGATTTTTTTTTCAACGTGGAACAAATTTTACGTCTACACATACATAATATTATGTACAGTATGAAATTTTAACATTATGTGTGCATTGTGAATCTGTGACGATTAGAAATACAGCCAACACAAAGGAGAAGGAAAGGAAGAAACGGTGTCATCATCGGAAAGAGGAGAAAGGGCGCCGTCTACGGCGGAGGTGATGCAACAATTAACCGATGAGAAGGAAAGAAGCTTGGATGAAAATTCTGATCAAGATATTGTAAGTCACAACTATGCTGATAAGGTGATCAATGATGTTGATGATGGTAATGATTATCCTGATGATGTCAACGAGAAGTACAGAGCCTCGCAGTGATAACCTTTAATTTGGACCAACTACTAAATATTTTGCATTTTTGATATACATGTGCTTTCTATTTGGATTGAGGTATGGATACCTATGGGCCCACTTTATTCGAAATATCCACATAAAAGTCTTATGTTCTCTTGTCTGAAAGTCGAAGAACTAATATAGTTGTTCTACACGCTTATGTCATTTATTTGGAGATTTTGTTGTAATAACTAGTAAAAAGAGACTATAAATACAAGTTTTTAATTAGTTGTGGCACCTCTTTTACATCCAAAACATTTAGTAGTAATCTTGTTCACTCCGAAATCTCATATTCAATGATAATCATCTTGTGCAGTTATATAGATAAAGCACTCATATTTGTTTGTATTAGCTAAATTTCATCCCATAGTTCCTCGATTTCAGGCAATTTTACAGGTCGGGTACAGGTTAGTTTCCGACATATCTAAACACAAAAATAGAGTACGAAATTTAGAGAGCGGACTTCACCTTGAGTTACGCTTCAAAATTGTAAATTTTATATATAAAAGTAACGAGTTCCTTAAAAATAATAAGGAACTCTAGATAGAAGAACAATATATGGTATTATTCTTAATACTATGCAACCTAGCAAAAACTCCAATTAATGGGGCAGTATTGTATGTACAAGCTTCAATCTGAATATAATTACTCCTCTTATCAGTAAACTCATCTTTATCATTGGGCCCACCAACAACGGCCCCAACTAAAAGATTTGGGTTTGGATTTGGGTGTCCATACCACCTATTGTATCCCTCAGTACACCCAATAAAATCTCTCAATTTTTTATAAGATGGGATTGATGCACCCCTATGATGGACCCTTAATGGGTATTTGGGCCCAAAACCAACTAAATAGCTTAGGCCCATTGGGTTAGAGCCCAATATGTAGTCTACTTGTGATTTTGCTTGGGCCAAGATTTCTTGTGGGCTTACTTCTCCTAAGGAACAGTTTAGAGTCTGACTCGTCGTTTGAAGGTAATCAGAGTAGACTATGAGTAAAAACGCAGCGTTTGATACGTACTGTAAGTTGTTCCATCTGCGGGTGTACAGTAAGCCCCCTGGGGTGCGCTTCACATTGTTGGCTTTGTTTTTGTTGAGGCAACCACAAATGTAATGTTCTGCTTTTGATTTGTATTGGTCTAGTATTTTCCTGTTTTTATCATTCTTCTCTTCTCTTAATAGCTGCCACAAAGAATCATAAAATATTTAGAACTAGAATATTTATCACAAGAAAATACAACAACGAGCAAATCACTAAGCTCTAAATGTGACATATGAGTCATTCGGGTTAGGCTCAATTCGAGTCTTACTAAGGTAATGAGTCATTTAGTTCAATTTCAGTTCAATTTAAGCATCGTCATGTATGTACAAAACTACAGATACAATAGTTTTTTAATACGTCCGATCAATATTGGTCATATCAATATTCTTCCAACTTGGATTGTATCTAGTTATTTAGTTTTAGGTACAGTTTAGCGTCTAATCAGATGATACAAAACATACTCTATAAGTCTACATTATTTGAATGGAAATGTGTAAAGTAGTGGGAGCATAAATATGTGGACACAAGTAAACATGATGAATTGAAGAGGGAACAATGCATTTATTTAGAAATGTGCAAAACTTTGAATATGTTGCAATAATTTGGGAAAGAGCAAGTAATAAACATATATAGTAAAATGTATGATTACCATGGAAGCAATAATTTGAAGTCCAGCATACTTGAGATCCCAACTGAATTCATTGATGGCCCAAGTTACTCCACCAAAAGAGACGGCATTGTTGATTGCATAGTCCAAATAATTTTCCTTTTTACTGGCTTTGTATAGCCACAAAGCTGCCCATAATAACTCATCTTTGTACCCACTCCATGAAGGGTAATAACCCTTTGCTTCTTTTAAGCTATCATCATATTTTCCTCTATATTTGTCACCAAAATCAAACAACTGCATAAAAAAAGAATAAATAAATATTGCCCTCATAGAAATAACACCCAAAAAATTCTTAGATGAGTTATATTTATTCATTACTTGTGTGAATTCACATTTGTAACAAATTAAACTCGAGTTAATTATAATTTCGTATAATCTATGTACTCAGTCTTGGATAAAAGTGTATGGACCAAGTATGTGACCAATATTAGACCAAATGTAATTTTTGCAAAATTCTAGTCCAAAATTAAGTTGTAAAAGAGTCATATTCATATCCTGTTAAAAACTTGATAAAGGTACGTAAGTTAAAATAAAAGTTTAAGTAACATAGATTATAATTAATTAGGTGAGTTATTAAATGCTTACTTGTTGAGCATGGTCCAAGAGCATATTAGAGTAATGTGGGTCAGTTGTCCTAAACACCAAGGATGCAGCCGCCATGGCTGCGGCCGTCTCTCCGGCAACGTCTGACCCCGGATTGCTCTCATCAACCTTATAAGCTTGCCGTGATGTTGTCATGTCTTCCGGGCGTTGCCAGCAATAGTGATCAGAGTTGCCATCACCTACCTGAACAATCTCTTTAGTTAATTTTTGTTTTATCATGTAACAATCTTGATAAGTTGATACGACTAAAATGACGCATGAATGCATCATGTCTTACATTAATATATTAACATTTAACAACTATTGGTATAACAAATATAATTAAAGAAAGCGTTACAAGGCACAAACCTGAGCCCATAATACAGTTGGATGAGGATGAGTTTTGATGAAATAATCAGTGCCCCATTTAATTGCTTCAAGTGCATGATCATATTCTCCGGCCTCCATCATTTCTTTCCCATACTCAAGAACTCCCCATGACAACATTGTCACGGTAAACGCCATCGGAAACCCGAATTTGACATTGTCGCCGGCATCATAGTACCCTCCCACCAGATCAATCTATACGTACATGTACATATATTTTTTTAAATGAATTTAGCCAATATGAACACAATAAATTTCACATAAATCAATTTATTAAGAGTAATTTAATTTTAATATTTTTATATTTAAGTTTTATCTTTATAGAAGAAAGGTACTCATATAAAGTTCAGAAAGTTTTCTTCTTAGAGGTAAATTGATCATATACTTCGTATTAATTAAATAATACGTTAATATTATACTCTCTATATTTCTTCAAAACTGTAGACGGTTAAATTGATCATATTAATTAAATAACATGTTAATATTAGACTCTCTATATTTCTTCAAAACTGTATAAGTGAGAAAAAAAAATAATAATAATAATAATCAAACCATTATTGTATATTCATCCTAATTGGGTACACATGGCAAGTTCTATATTGCAAATGTACAAGCTTGAGAATTTATAACAAATTCACAATAGATTGTTGGAAACTTGTAATTAATGAGTTGTTCTTAATAATTCTTTCTTTTTAAGCTTCAAATATGTCGTTCACTATCATTTACCAATTATTTATGATTAGAAATTTTGGTCATTAATGCATTTCGGTTATCAATATAGCATAGAGCCAACAATCCAAACTCTATACATATCGACTTTTGAAGTTAAACATTTCACTATTGTCCACCAATCTATCTTCATACACAATTTTTTACTCGTAAAATATACTCCTTCGATCTCAAAATAGTTTTCTACTTGTCTATAATAAACTTCTACAAGTACTTTCTAATCATTTTATTTCAAGTTATATAAAAGTACAACAGTAACTGAACACAATTGTCAATGCACAATTCATTTTAAAATCTCTAATTATATGGTATGAAGTAGTAAACTTATGAACAAGTTAAAAACATGGGTTAAATTATTGCAAAAATCATATTGTTGCATTTAAGCTGTAATCAAAAGAAAGTACTATTTCTTCATAGCTTGGGCCCCACACTAACTTGTTCATTTTTTTCACTTTCACTTTTTCTCCCTTTTTTCATTTATGGTTACATTTGCAGATCAAGCAAACAAATTGAAACAGCAGAACGAACAGCATAATTATAAAAATAACATTTTTCAAAATTTTCACTTTCCTAATTATAAAACAGAGCGTTAAAGATTTATAAATTGATTATACATCAAAATAAACTATTATAACCCCAATGTATATTGTTTCATCCCAACAATACACCAAAAAAAAATCCTTTTTATTATTTTTCTACACGTCATATGGTGTACACCCAAGTATATAATAAAAATTCTCGTCGAATTGAGAAACTATAAAAATACGACGTACCTCCTGCTCAAGCCCATCAAGGAGGGCAGAATGATGTCTCCAAACGACCCTTTGATTATGAGGCAAATGCCCTGAACGTTGCGCTTCGAAATACAAAAGACTCTTAGAAAGAGCATCAACATAATGTTTAGAGGTAAATTCAGAGAAAGTAAAGGGTATAATTGCAAATATAAATAAAATGAGAACCAAATTATAATTTTTAGAATTTGTTTTCATGATTTTTGGTTTTGTTTGTTTGAGTTGGAATGACTGATAGTAGTGTAGTAAGTAGTGGTTGCAGGAAGGAAGGAAAGAAGGGAAAGAGGAGAGAGAAAGAGGGAATGTCGGTGAGATTATGAGAAAATTACGGGTGTTATGTTTAAAGTTTTTTTTTTTTTTGGAATTTTTAAATTTCAACTTTTGGGCTTTTATTTTTTAAATGTCAACAATTTGGGCCAATTACAAATCTGAAGTCTTGTGTTTTTTCAAACCTCACATTTGATATGACCCAATTTCCGAACATACCACTAGTGTGTATATGTGATTTGATGGTGTTTCAAATTTTCTAAACTAATTATTTTGATCTTACTAATGGACGCAGAACGCCCCCAACATCAAATAAGCATTTAAAATATTTTCTAAATTGATACTCGTATTAATTTAGGCGTACATTTTAAAGTTATGCGTTGATCGATGTAATTAATGTTTATTATAATTCAATATTTCTACTTTTAATTATCCAACATCTCAAATCGTTCATTAGCTTTTTCCTTATTTAATTTACTTATAATAAAGGTTTTTTAGTTATTTTACGTGAAAATTAAATTTCAATTCAAAATGAAACTATATAAGTATTGTCTTGTATTTCGTATATTGAGATGTTTATAATACGATAAAAATAAACAGTAATGAGTTTTTTTTTTAAAAAAAAAACGTGATATAGTTGGATTTGTTACCATTTCAGCCAGATAATTCCAAAATTTGTAGAATTATTAGATAATATTTTGCCAAACATGAAATGTGTGTAAATTTCAAATTTCAAGTACATCAATGATTAACAATTTTGTTTGCTATAAGACATTTTAATAATTTATGGTTCACTCTTACGGAGTACAAATATTTTGTTCATTACATATGTGTACAATAAGTATTATTTTGCAACATCATATGTTACGGTAATTAAATTTTAAGGGTTAAATTTTTCAAATACTAACATGGTTATTTTTTTTTACATTATGAGTGATTCTTAGGAATTTATTATTTATTTTAATTATTGTTGTAACAAAGACAACATTATTGGTAAAAAAGTAAAAAAAAAACACATAGGCGACCTTGATTTTATTTGGAAACGATTTTTAAACATTTATACAATAATTTTATGTCTATCTTACAATATTGTATGTACACCCGTTTTATTTGAGAGCTCGCATTTCTCATAGATTGAATTGTATTAAAATTAAAAAATCCAATTTGGACAGGGCTATAATATAATCAACCGATTATTATTTTTCCCATCAAAGCAAATTTGCAACAATAACCAAATTTATGTCTCAAACTCTTTTTAGGCAATTATGCAATGGCTATATGGAAATTAGTTTATATTGCAAGAACTTCCTCTTCCATTAAATGTTCCTAAAATTGGTCTTTGCTAATTCAGTAATAATGGACATGTGATTCTTATTTTCAATGACAAAATTTAAAGTGATTAAAATTGAAGTAATCTCCAACTCGGTTCTCAAGAATCTCAACTTCTCAATATGGTTGTGTTTTAAAAAGACCACAATAAATCAACTACAAATTAAAATGGGACCGAACCACATTTTTAGGCAAGAAAATTCTACCCAAATTGGTGCCATTAAATACGCCAATTTGATCAAATAATCATCAACCAAAAATAATACTTTATGCAACTATTATTTAGAATAGTTACTAAAGAAATATACTTGATATACGTAACTATTAATTTCGGACAGATGAAATATAGTAATTACGTACAAAATCACTTGACATAAAGATAAGATTGGGGTAAAAAAGTGAAGATCAGAAATCTGGGAGATAAGATACAACTTTAAATAACAAAAAATACTAAGCCCAAAATCTCTTCTTAGGAAGAAGATCAGAAATCTTAACCTTATCAATTTTAGCGGCAACAATAAAATCATTAACACTCAACCCACCAATTTGCTCAGTCCACAACACAGCAGTGATCTGATTATTATCCTCCTGATGAAAAACAGGGGAATGAGAATGTCCAGCACTTTGAACAACCTTAGAAATCCTATCTTTCAACTCAACTCCGGCTTCAACATCCTTCAACTTCCACAAACCCTTCAACTTCAACACAACCTTACCATCTTCGGTTACGTCTTCGAGTAACCGCCATCCGACAACCTTCAAGAGGAGCTGCTTAGCATCATCCTTAGACATCGGAGCATCAGTAGGAGATATAGGAATGCAAGGCTGTTCCGAAAGAGCGATAGCTGAAGTATGTGGGATGAGAATCTTATGTTCTGTGCTCACGTTTCCTAGGACTTTTTCTCCGAAGTTGCTCTCTAGTTCAGCTGGGAAAGGGTCCCTGGCTCCGAAATCGCCTAGGAAGTCTGTTCCTGTAACCATCATTGGAGTGAGCCGAAGGCGACGAGTTCGAGTGGTTAAGAAGGGGAAGAGGTTAGGATTTGAGGGGGTAAAAGAGGGTTTGATGGAAGATTTGGAGTAAAAGAGGGAGGTGGTGGTGGTGGTAGATGTGGTAGCCATTGAAGAAGGTTAGAGTGTTAAGAGTAATGGCTTTTGGGAATGGATAGAGTAAAAGATCAGAAGTTAGTTTGTCACTCACTACTGTTGCTAGTGTTCGTTGAATGATGTGGGAATTTTGTGGCTAAGAAAAGGTGGTTGTGTAATTGGATAAGGCCCACATAGGAAAAAGGCTTCAATTATTTCATCAACTATTCTGCCCAAACACCCGTAGCAAAGTAGGTTGCATGATATCGGATACGGAAATGGTTTGGATACTGGATTTGGCACCATCAAAAATATAATAATGCAGGCACATTATATTTTTTTAATGATACTCCGTTAACCTTTTCCAATAAAGTAATAAACACAAAATCAATACAGAATTACAGAGTATAATGAAAAATATATATATTAGTTTAAATGCAAAAAGTATAAGTGGAGCAAGTAATAAAATACGGAGAGAGTAATAATGAAAAAAAATATTGGTTTTATAAAAAAACAAAAGTTTTTTAATTTTTTTAATTTTTTGAAAACGGTCACAAAAGGGGATTAACCCCGAGTAAAACGAGTGTAATTAGATGCATTAACGCATAGCTGCTATTTGTTTGGTATGCATATAGGAGGACTAATTGGTAAATTCACTCAATTTTTGTGATTTTTTATTGCTACAATGATATTTTTAATGTACTATTATAATTATAGTTGTATTTTTAATGCACTATTATACATGTATTTTATACTACTAGAAATAGCCATTATAGGTAACAGTGGTACAATATTTGTACCATTGGAAGAAAAAGAAAAATTCACCACTCTTTTATCTTATAGCTGCTATTTACTTGTTATGTAAATAGCAGGCTATGCGCTAATACTTTAACCGAGTAAAACTGCAATAACAGCAAACAACACAATGAAAAACGGAAAAAGATGCCTATTTTTCTTTCAAGTAATTGTTCAGCTATCAGATACACACATTAGAAAAATAATACTACAACTTAACATTTTATGATTTCTGAGCACTTAATTTGAAACAAGAAAATCAAATCCAAAGGTCAAAGGCATGGATATAATGAAAGCAGTTCGCAGCACAGTAGTACTCTTAAGATTTAACCAATTCCCAAGGGCAAAGTAATCAAGCTTCAAATGAGCTCCCACAACCAATGGTGAACAAATCAAGTTTTAAGCATAGTACTCCTAGGATAACTCAAGTTTAATCACAATCGAATTCAAACTTTGAGCCCGTTTTTAACATCCCTGTATAATTCATTTTGCAACAAAGAATGAATTTGGTTCCAAAGCCACGAGACAGTAAGAATATACAAAATAGTTTCCATGTAATTGAGAATCTTAAGACGACAGGTAATGACATACCAAGCATCCATAATTCACGTCGACAAGCAGAGCTCAGACGGCAATAAGTTCAAAGTTGACTCATCAAGTTACAATAAAGTTTTAGACATGGTCTTTCACAAAGCCCTAAACTTTTTTTTTCAACCTAGTAAACCTGAGGTACAGCAATAAAACTAGATCATAGCACCTCCAGTCTGATGAAGCATAGCGTCTATCTCATCACCATCCTCCATTTCCAACTGTCGCAAATAACATAAATTAGTTAGAGAGATATAGGAACATAAAAGGTAAGTAATCCCATCTGATATCATTGTCCCGACAATCTGACCCGAGACCAAGAGGATAAGTAAAGCTGATATAAACCCCCTAAACCAGGATACATAAGTACAGAGTAAAACAGAAAAAGAGAGAGAAGAAGAGAGACACCTCTTCAGGAGTCTGCTCGGCTCGAAGTCGACGCCCATCAAACAAGAAAGCAATGGAGTTCAATTCCACTGATTGTCGGTCACAGTAAGCATTCATAAGTTTCTTCAGCTGTGTAGACCTCTTAATACGAAAGAAGACCTCATTCCCATCCTAAAACAGGCCCCAAACAGAAACACATTAAGAACTGAAGCAGTCCTGATGCATATACTCAAAATAGATAAAAAGTGCAATACGCTCAATTAGAGGTAAATATCAAATCAGACACTGGAACAGAAATCATGACCAGGATATTTAAACTTGTCATAAACAAAGCCATGTGGTAGAGATAAAAGGGAACGGTAAAAACACACGCACGCATGCAAAAGGAATGCTTTTAATACCAGCTTCAAGGCCTTCTTCTCAATTTCTCATCTTAAAAAATATAGTTTTGGAAAAAAAAAATGTTCATATTAGTTTAGGAGGTTATGATAAGTTTACAAGTTTAGACAAGGGCTACGAAGTTGAAGGCTCATTTCAGAGCTATAAAATTTCAGTACAAGGACCCAAAAAAGATAAAATTATTTCAGATACTCCGTAAGTGATTTTCATGTGAAAAGATCATTAAGGATAATCCACTTGTTCTAATGGGGGCAGGGGGGCAACCTGTGTCATAACTCTTAACTAACTAAATCTAGGAAGGTATCAGTCCCTAAGGTTACGAAAATGACACCTCATGATCTAGAACTCGAACCATAGAATTTATTTGAAACTTTTCTGTAACTGATTTTACAAAGCTAAAGGGTAAAGTGGAACAATGAAATAGATGTTCCCCCAATTTCATTGACAGAAAATAAATAAAAGATTGTTTAATTAATCCTGCACTGGACAGGATTAAAGTAAATTGGGAAAATAGAATGATCAATGGTCTAGTTTCATGGATAACAAATGGCTAACTACATAGCAAAAATTTTGCAACAGTAGTCTATATCGACCACAGTTTATTCACTCATCATCGCCCTCTTCCATAGAGGCAATAGAGCCTAGTAGCCTACTTCCTTATCCAAGCATTTTCAAAAAAGACAGAGAGAGTATGCTTTCAGCTATAATTGAAATATGATATCACGAATCAATACTTGACTACTTGTATTATTATACACTATACAGAAATCATCATTATCAAGATATAATAATTACACATGAGAAACTGTAGAAGTGTATGGCGTAATATGAAAATGTATTAATAAGGAAGAAATATGTTTGAATACAATTAGGAAAGATATTGGGAAATAATGGAAATAAATCAAAAAGATATAATGTAATTATATAATATACAGATTATGAGAATAAATTTGATTTAGTTCCTTGTATTGCATCTAGTGGTGATATGAAGGAATTTTCAATCAATTAAATCAGCTGTCAATCAATTAATATCACAAATTCATAGTGTCTAGTGCAAGAGGTTTCTTTAACACAGCTACTAACCATCAAATACCAGCCAAAAAAAAAAACGCAGATATTCAAATAGAGCCCACGTGTATGATATATCTGGCAAACTCAGCACCTATCACTAAAAATGTTCCAACATCATAGAACACCATAAAAGCTTGGCAATGAGCAACAAACATCGGACATTTAAATTAAATTGCACCGCTGATAAGTTGCTTCTACAACAAATTTTTTAACTTGTAATACATAACAGGTAAATTGTACTCTTAATTGATCTATCTTCCTTATTCACACTCACCCCTTGCTATTGCACGGGCTAAAAAGGCTAGCACTCTTTTTTTTAACAAAGATTTGTCAAATAAATGAAATCCAGAGAGCAATTAAATCCAAATTTTTCCACCAATAACAATATTCCGAGAATATTTCTCAAGAAAATCAGAAGCAAGCCAATTTTCCATCAATCATCACTATTACCAACCTATCCGTCAATTATAACTATTTCCAAACTATCCATCAATTATAACTATTTCAAAACTATCCATCAATTATAACTGTTTCCAAACTATCCATCAATTTTAACTATTTCCAAACTATACATCAATGATAACTATTACCAAACTAATATGGTCTTAAATAAAACCATGAATGCCTCACCACCTTCTAACCTACTAAGTCACCTCTAACGCTTACTCGTAAACAGATTGTTTCTCGCTTGAATACAAAAATCTAAATCCAAGAACCAGCAACATCCTTTGTACTCAGCATACAACAATCCAAAACAAATTAAGGCAAACTGTACACTCAAACCAGTAATTCACTCTGACAAGGTTTTGCAATTCTAAAAACAACATATAATTTGATTCAAAGGCTTAATTGACAGTTAATTCAATAAATTTTACACCATGGAAGCAGCGAAAATTAAATCATTTTTTTTAAAAAAAAAAAAATTGTATTTCATTGTAATAATTAAATCAACTCAAAATCAAATAAACAGATCGCTCTAATCAAATGCCTACTAAAATCATCTACTCGTATTACTTAAATTCAAGCAATCCAGAAACACTAACAATTAATCGCAAACAAAAATTAATTAAAAAAAAATAAAATAAATCAAATTAAACGAAACAATAGAGTGAATTACCACCAAAAATCAAAAAATTATTTTTTGGTACTTAATTATAATAATTGAATCAACTCAAAATCAAATAAACAGATCACTTTAATCAAATGCCTACTAAATCATCTACTCGTATAACTTAAATTCAGCAATTCACTAACACCAAAAATTAATCGCAAACAAATATTAATCAAATTAAACAAAACAATAGAGTGAATTGCCACCAAAAATCAAACCAAACAAAGCAGCATAAACCCTAGAATTACACAAACCACAAAAATTAAAAATTAAGCATAAAAAATCACAAAAATTAAAAATTAAGCATAAAAATCACAAAAACTAAACCCTAAATCCTTGAAAAAGTTACCTGACCCTTGACTTTGAGATTGATGTGAGCACCTTGGTCACCGGGCTTCTTGTCTTCTTCCTGAGTTCCAGACATTTTTCTCTCTCTTCGAGCTTCGCTTCGTTATCACGCTAACAGTCTCCCTCCCTCCTTGAATGCACCACTTTCTCCCCCTTCTTTTATTTTTTTCAATTTTGAGTCTCTCTTTTATAAATGGAGTTTTGGTTTTCTCCACTTTATTTATAAATAAATAAATATGGAGTCAGCGGAGACTGCAAGTTTGAAGCCCAATACAAACATAGCCCAATCATAATAGATTTGGGTTTTATTTTTTAATGGAATTGTAGAGGATGATGTAGACAAATTTGATATTTGGTCTTAATAACTTGTGTTGATTACTAATTGGGAGTTTTTGGCTATTGTATTGTGCAGAGTTCTGATTTACGCTGAGAGAATGGGAAATTTTGGTTGAACTCG